ATGGTATTTCCATGTGTAGAGCTTGTGGGCTATCTGTAATAGCTAAATGAAAGCAATCAAACCAAAAAGCCCTTCTTTAGGTCTGCAGCAGTATACATAATATATGTATAAGTAAAAGATGTTTACTTATGTAAACCAACTGTGTCCCTGATAGTCTCCCCCATCTAACCCAATGCTGGGTAGTTCTCCTGCCTCTGACCCCCTTCTCCCTCTTAATATCTTCTTGTTTCTCTTTTGGTCACCTTGGTGCTGCTCCATACGTAATTTTTTGAGGAATTTATAGATGAAAATCCACCAGCATTTATTTTTGAGATACCATATCTTTGACATGTATTGGGTAAACTGCACAAGAGTAGTGCTTGAAAAGATGGCAACCCTGAATTATCTTGGTAATGAGTCTGAGACAGAGCTGTTTTGGGGAACCTCCAAAGCAAGCATTTCACTTCCTTTTCAGGGAAGTGTGGTCAAAACTGGATGTTACTGGCTGGCAGAAATAGAAACAAGCTTTAAAACTTCTATGCATTTGAGATTGGTTGTGAAATTATTAAAGTTGGAGCCTAAAAGGGATTAGAAAACTAATTTCTTGCTCCAACCTTATGTTCATTTCTCATTTCATGTTCTTTTTATTTGTTTATTTATTTACTTTTATTATTTCTTGTCTTCTTGCCTCATTGCTTGCTTGCTTTGTTTCCTTTGTTTACTTTGCCTCATTTCCAAAGCAGAGGCTGAGTTTTGAATACTAACCCAAAGGGAGTATTTTTATTTTCTGAAGGCAGTCTCCAGAATATTTGCTGACTAGTCTCTAGAACATTTTGCTGACTACAGTCAGAGGTAGGCATCATGCATGTCAATATGATTTTAAAAGAATTTTGTCTGCTTTCAAGAGAAGCGTATGCTGGAATTGCCATATCGAAAGTTTGGGATGAGGGCCTGTAGTAAATGCACAGATGATTAGCATACAGTGGCCAGGATAAATATGTTCAGGCATCTGAGAAATGTGTTGGAATCTCATTACGCCATCTAAACACACCCTAAGAGATCCTGGTAAAATCACTTCTTAAGCCATATTGTCTTGTGGTTATACAGTGCAGCTCACAATCTGACAAGTGTTGTGAGGTATTTCCATAACTCAGTATCTTTTCTGAGCATTTCAGTTGCCTATTTTTATTTGTTTCCTTCTGGAAGAAGTAGTTTCTTATTTTCTCATAGTACTTGTGAAGATTTACTGTGAAAATCTTTCCTAGTGATTTCCCAAAAATTTTGTTATATGGAAAAAAGCATGTACCTAATGTGGAATTAAAAACAAAACAAAACAAAACAAAAACAACAACAACAAAAAAAAACACAAACAAACGGTAACATCTGCAGGGAATATCTTAACTTTAGGCATGCTTCATAATTACCTAAAAATGGATGTCCTTCTGCCTCTCATATCTTTTCTACGCACTGCAGTATGCTTATCAGTACCTACTTGTCTAAATCAATCTTATGTCTCTGGGAGTCTTGCTTGTCATTTCCCTGTGTTTCCCCGGAATTTTAATTGCAGTATTTATATAAAAAATATTATTATAAATAATTATATCTTATTAATTATCAGTCTGCTAGTTGTTAACATTTAACATTATAGGAGGTGGGAAATAGTAAAAAAAAATGTACTTTTCATCTAGGTCAAAAGAATCTGACATGTATGTATAACACCCCAAAAAAAGCTGACTCGGTTAAAGTTATCTTACGCAACTGCATCATGCAATCTGCATGACACCTCATGACTTTCCAAATATTACCTTGAGCTGACAATGCTTGGGAGACATTTTGTTCCAGAATAAGTCTAGGTTACACAGGGATTAGGTAAAGATATATCCACACTTTTCAACTTGCCATTGTATTATAACTTTATGCACTCTGTTGACTAAACATCACTCTTATTTACACAATCAAACCCCTGTGAGTTTATTGTGATTCATTATACATTTTACTTCCCCTCCCACTTCTTTGCTTAAACAGGTAGTGCTTGTCAAGGACCTGGTCCTAAAGGCATGAAGTTGTGACTAAGAAGCTGAGAATTTGATGCCTTGACAGAGCCTGGTGGGAAAGGAAGGGCATGGGGCTGCACACTCCCCCCATGCTGCAGGGAGATGCTGCAGTCAGTAAGCAAAGGTAATGTGAAAATGTTATAGTCTGTCCTAGCCCTAGGTGGAAGCTCTCTGTTCCTGCCAGGAGACTTAGGCTTCCTGGGCCTTTCTCTTGCCTTGACCTGCCATGGGAAGATGTAACCTCCACAGGCTGAATTTGTCTCTTTTCCCCTCTTCATTACATGCCTCTGAACTTCTCTCCAAATTTCCCTCTTCCTGCTCCACCTTTTATTGATCCTGTGGCCAAATTCCTTGATAGCAGTTAAAAGACTTCTCTGAGGCTTTGCTAAACCATCTGCTTTACGATGAGGGCCTCCTGGGGGAGGGGTGTGTGTGTGGGGGTGGTTGTTGCAGAGTTTGAAACTGATGTTTGTGAAGAAGCAAGGGACTGATTTTTCTGTGTGTTGTAAGGAAGGCCATGGTGTTAGTAGGATAAGTAGCCTAGGAAAACAGAGAAACAGTGTGAGGGACCTGGGTTGGTGTGGCATTAGGCAAAGAGGAGACAGGTAGATAAGTCATATAATTTTGAACCTCACTATGAAAAGAAGGCTTCTTAGCATATTCTTCCTCAATGTCTGGCTTAGTACAGGATCAGTTATTTTGGAGTTTGTATGGGATGGGAATTTGGTGGATGATTTGTTGCTACTCAGTTTATAAAGTACATGAAAATATAGAGAATGGAGGGAACTAAGTTGCACAGAACAGCCCAAGTGAAGGGGCGTGGCCGGAAAAAAAGCTAGTCAGAAAACTTGCAGATTAACATGTGCTCTATGTCTGTGTGCAATATTTTTCAAATTATGCATCTATACCTAGTCAATAATACACTTATGGGAATTCATCATTTCACCATTGACTCCACTGAGCAGGACCAAATTCCGTTAATACATTAGCACGTCATTACAATGGATTGTTGATTATCATCAACACACCTGCAGACTGAAGTGCTCTGCTCTGAGTGCTAAGGGTGAGAGTCTAAAGATATAGCTCTAGGTAAAAGTTTTCTTAGGATACTGGCTCCTGTGAGGAGAGCAAACTTGGAGGATTTCTAGAGATGTAAGGTCTACCTTTTGGTACCCTTAGGAGACAGAAAGAGGATAAGTAAGATAGATGTGTGTAGCCTGACTGTAGTTCTGAAACCCTTTTGTCTCTAAATGCTTTGTTCCTGATGCTAAATAGACAGCAGTTTATTTGAATGGGTTTCTGATCACTGCATAGGCTACTGATCATAACCTCCTTCAGGGAGGATCCATGGATGCTGGCATTAAGTCAGATTTTGGGCTAGGCACGCCTGACACCCAGACTCATGTGGCCTGCAGCTCAGGCTCAGCTTTGAAGCAACATGAGTGGCACCTGCTCAGAGCCTGAGGGTTTAAGGTGTGCAGAGAGGGGAGAGAGGTGGGGAGAGGGAAAGCTTAGGCCCTGCCACAGCCAAAGAGGGCTTCAGCTGTGATCCGTGATCCGCTGATGTTGCTGATTGCATTATGAACTTTAAAATGCAACGTGTAACATAGCTCATGAAAGTGTTTAAAATACCGGCACTTAGTATTGTAGTTATTAATTAATAATATGCATTTATATAGCACCATAAATGTCCATGGCACTTTACCGATAACGATATTCCCAACAGTCAGGGATATTAAGCCTAAGCACTTGGAAGACAGCCAAATGATATAACTGGATAAAGCCTACCGGTTAGAGTTAAGGAATTTGGTTTTGAATTGCCTATTGGAAGAAAATCACTAAGGGCCGTGCCTGCATTATTACCATGACTGGAACGTTTGGTGAACTGAAGTGAATGTTGCTGAAAACATTTTTTTTTTTTTTTTCATGGAATGGTGTATGAGTCTGTGCTATTCTGACTGAGCATTGCTACAACCTCTGTGCACAGTGGGATAAATAACAGTTCTTCAGAGACCACTTGTCTCCGGTGGTGACTATGTATTTGAAAGAATGGAAGAGTAAAAACTTGTCTTTTGTGGTGCTTTGGGCAAATATGTTCATCTGTGCAACAGATCTATCCAAGAGAAAATAAGGGCTGGTGAGAGGGAAGCTAATTCCCTAAACAATGCTGAAGCACAACAACAGTCCATACTGATTAAAACATTGAGCTAACCAGGAGGTGTAACTTTCTGCTACTGTCTGTGTCCCCTGGCATGAAGGAATCTAAAGAACAGGAAGAAGGTGGTTGCATGCGTTTTTGGCAAGAGCAGTAGCTAGCTCTGGCTTAACAACCCTGGACAACCTGGGGCATAGGAGTGAAGCAGGTTTAATTAGGCAGCAGGTTTAGGGAACTTGGGAGATATGGCTCTGCACAGAGATGCTGCTATTCTGAGTTTTAAGAGGCTTGTTATGTGAGAAATACATGTCCTCTGCCAAGCCCAAAGGGGAATGGGCTTAGCACCAGGGGTGGAGGCTTGTACTCCCCACAGGTGGCAAATATTCAGCAGCTTCATGGCATCTGCGCAAGTCCCTTACCAGGCATACACACACAAATCACATGGAGAGAGGTGAGCTGGGTGCTCCTGCCCACCCCTTTGTATTTCAGAGGCCAGAGTACCTGTCGAATACAGCATACCCCGAATTGTTCTCTTCCTCCCTCCTACAGCACAACTGCCAAGGCTGTGCTGACTTGGTAAGCTCCTGGAAAAGACTTTTATGGTGAGCTGGACTTGTCACTAAAGAACAAGAAAAGCAGGAGAGCTTGTCTCTCCCATTGCTGCTATAAAGAAGAGAGCTTTGCTCCTTCTCCCTGGCTGGAGGGCAAACCAGCATTGCACCATCATTCCTGGTGGCTCATGAGCTGTGTGGTGAGGTGTCTCTCTCTTGCTCCCACCTATTTTAACCCTTGTGCTATTTTTTTTTCTCTCCTTTTTTTTTTTTTTCCTTCCAATTTTTATGTTTTCTACAGAATGGTTTCTCTTTTCTCACTGCAACTCCTTAGAGTTTTGGTTTTAGAGAGCTATTTTGAAAGTGGAATTAAAAGTGAATTATTCTGTGCTCTTTGTGCTTATGATTGTCAGAGGTGTTTTTTCATGTCTTGTATACATGAAAAACTGGCCAAAAATGTAATGAGCTCTAATGGAGGCAAAGTTAAGTGAATGATAGTGGAGAAAATCAGTGATGGAGTTCCTCCAGGCTCTGCCAGGTTTAGAGGCTACTGTATTACAAAAGAGCACTTTCTCCCTTTGAAAGACAAGACCCTGGTGAGAAGATCAGATGGACCTTGACAGAGAATGCAAGGGGCTTTGGCCTCACTGAATCTGGAACTGGGTGTCTATTTCAAGCATGAGCCAAAGGAGAGCCAATCAATAGATTTCTCACATCTTTTTGAAGCTTAAATCTCCACCTTTTAGTGGTCTAAAAGTTTTGACTGAGCTTTCTTACCTTCTGGTTTTGGACTGTCTGTGAACCTCATGAGATGACTTGCTCCTGTGCATTCCAGTGGTTTAAGTAAGTAACCATTTTCAAAAGTCTTTTGAGGTCAGAGCAAGAATCCCAAGTCTTTTGAGGTTCCACCTCTGTAAGACAATTTTTAAAGAGGAGAAAATTCCCATTTGAATTCTGTCTTTCTATTCTGCTTAACTCAGTCTTCAGGTTCAAGGCCCAAGACCACATGAAGGGCTTTAAATACCTTTCTTGTCTAAAAAGGGATTATGCAAAGATATTACTTCCTTACCTCCAGATCTGGGCTCCATACATGTTCGCACTGATGACTGTTTATTAGATACAAATAAAGTGGTTTTTGTTTACTGTGTTCCCTGTCTTGTGTTCCTGCTGCTCTTGATTCAACCATAGAGGAACACACTGGATTTTACTTAGGTTCCCATCTCATCAGCAGGATCAGTAACTGCATTTGTGCAGTTGCTTTGCAGAGTAGACCCTTGCTTTCCTCATCCTGTGTGCAGTACCTCTGTGCTGCAGTGCCCTTTGCACAGGGCATTTCTGTCTTCTTGTAGGATGTGCACTACACTCAAGCATAGGGCACATAGCTGAAACAGAAGAGCCAAGGAATCATGCAGATGAGTATTTAACCTCAGGGGTTAATACAGTTATTTGGTATAGGTCTGTTTGTAGTTCTTTCAGTCACACAGTATTAAGGGTGTAACACAGTTTGAAATAACACCTCTATATCTTAAGCACAGTGAACCTTGGGTCATTTTTGAAAACCTAGTATGCTTGGGAAAATAAATGGCATAAATATAAACAAAATACCTTTCAATGATACACTGATAAGGAAGAAAAAAAAAAAGTGTTACATCTCTTTGGGAAATAGGTATCATTCCCAGTAGTGATATTTTGCATATTTTAGTATTTTAGTCAGGACTGGGAACCACACGAGATACAGTGCTTTCCTGTCAGGACTTGATTGTAGAATTTGTACATAGTGAGAGCATGCCAAACCCTACCCTTATTAACTGTTTGACTATTCCTACAGGCCCATACATATAATCTATGTGGTTGCAAAACAGGAACAGTTGCAGGACAAAGAACATATTGTTAAATTAAAGAGTTTCACAGTTATTGCCTGCAGTATGAAGGGAAAAAAAATATTACAGGAGATTGTGAAGGCATGTATATAAAGTTGAAAGAAAAGAGAATGCCGAGTTCAAGGAACTCACTGAGTTCCTGCTTCTGACGCAGAGAAAGTAAATGAACAGCTGGTTTAACCTACTTCTTTCCTAACTGAACTGCATTCTGTTTACCTTATTAGTTGGCAGTATGCTTTGATTTAGAACAAAATATCCATTGAAGAAATGCCCAACATAATTTGATGTTGCACCTGCTTGTTTTCCCCCAGCCGTGGTATTTGAATAATCTCTCACTCTTGTGTGGTGGCTAAACAGATTCACAGATCCCACTTTGTGTCTTCTTGTGTATGGATGTCTTTTGCAGTACCTGTAGAAAGCAAAAGTTAATTGTATTTTCAGTGTGTTTGCTATTTAGACAAAAATACTGTCTGACCAAACAGTCCATTGCTTCTATATCTGTGACTGCATCCAACTTGTGTTAGTTTTCATTGTATTTGTAGTAGTACTTGATATAATTGCTAGAGTTTTGCCTGCCTTCCTGTTTTGGCATTAAGCAAGCAGAAGATTTAGCAAGTAGGGGCGAGTTTAATTCCTGCCGCTATGCTGGGAGATCTTTCTGCTCTGCCCCAGCCTTGTGACAGAGTCAAAATTCCTGTTTCTGTCTGTTCTCAGCTTCTTCTAAATTTTGACTGCAATGGGATTTGGTCATCAACAACTTTTGATGGGTCTATTGGATCCAACAGATTGTGATCCATCGTGCAGCTTTTTTTTTTTTTTTTTTCATGGATGCATATCTAATAGGAGAAAGCTGTTCTCATACCATTTAATATACACTATTGTTCCTATTTTATGCACTGTGATCTTAAAAAACAAACAAACAAACAAGCAATCAATAAACAACAGAAAACAACAACTTCTGATGTCACCAAGGAGAATGGATTAAATCTGGCCAGGTTCTGCCACTGCAACTTTATTCTTGTGCCTTTGAGCAAGGCAGTTCCACTTGCACCACCAGATTGTTAATGCACACTTCCAGAAGACTTTGATCACCACTGATCTATTCTGCATTTAGTTACGTCAGTGACATAGAGATGAAAGACTGCTGGTCTAATTGCTGTTTCTTCAGGATATCTCAATCCCTACTAGCTGTGCACAGCAACTGGAGTTTGCCATCCATTTAGTGGCACCTTCCTCTGGGTGCTGGTAGGCATGCACGTAATCTGGCTGTGGTGGTTTATACTAGTGGCCTTATGTACGGGTAAATATTTCAGTGGTCAGTAGGATGCACAGTCTGATCTAGAAACTTAATTACCCACTGACTGCTTGATAATGGTCAGTAGAACTCTTTTTCTTTTTCATTGTCTTTCTTTCCTTCTTTCTTTCATTTGTTCTTTTGTTCTTTCTTCTTTTTTTTTCTTTCTTTCTCTCTTTCTTTCTCTTTCACTCTTTCTTTCTCTTTCACTCTTTCTTTTCTATTTTTTGTTTGTTTGTTTGTTTGTTTGAGCATTAATATTTGCTTCTAATGACCCTGTACTGTTGAAGTAGGTACATGATATTTTGTCAGAATATCAAACTTCAGGGAAGTTTGAAAAATACTGTATTTGGATAAGGCCGTTGCATGTGGGTGTTAAGTTCCTAGTAGGTTCCAGCTGACTTACAAAGAATCTCAAGAATGGAAATGCTGTTCTCCAGCATGTCAATAGGAAGTTTCATTTAAGGTCTAACAGTTTTCATGACTGCAGCATTTTGCATGACTGCAGCATTTGTAGGAAGGAGAGAAAAGAAGAATTAAGACAGGAATTAGTTAAACTTTGATGTCATATGATTGGATTTAAGGAAGGAATTATAGTAGTCAGAGATCTCAAAGGCCCACCATTTCCATTTCATGAATCTGCATAGACAATGGGAACACACGCATACACACAAAAATCTCCAGACCACTGGACAGGCCAAAACAACATTTCAGGTATTCCGAATTAGTAGCAAAAAGGGAAGTTCAAAAAAATATTTCACTTCCAGAGAAATGAAGTGGCTCACAGCTAAGATAATTGAACTTCAGTAAACATCTAAATATAGTGTGAAATGAGAACTACTTTTAGTAAACACAAGATGACAAAAAGGAATTTTAAAAGTTTCAGGAGTCATAAGAAATTAGGCAGGAATGAAACAACTGTGGACATGTTGAAAAAAGATTTAATGGTCTAAGCAACTTGATCTGACTTTGATATTCATCATACCTTGAACAGGGGACTAATGAACCTCTAGAGCCCCATTCCAAACTGAATTCTTCTATGATCCTGTCATCTGACTCTACGAGAAGAGGGTACTAATGTGATCCATCAGGTATCACTCTTAATACACATTGCCATGTTTATAATTAGTGATGTTCATACAAACAGAAAGAGTGTGCAAATGAAATTAGGTGTTGACACAAAGAAGAGCAATATAGCAGAGGATCAGATCATGGAAGGCAATGAAGGATTCTGATGAGTGAAATATAAATGGATGTGTGTCTAACTGTATGAGGTGGAAGGTCATGTACTTATGGAAGAACCACAAGAATTTCCATTATAAACTATAGCCGCATCTTTTGAAAAGGACAATAATAATAATAATAATAATAATAATAATAATAATAATAATAATAATAATAAATACTGTGCAACAGTCAGTCACAGGCTAATTAGATATCACTGCTGTGACGTGGCTGTACATGAGAGCAAATACCATATAGCTGATAAGGTATTTTGAGTAGTGATAAGGAAGTAATGATACCATTGTTCTCAAAACAAAACAAACAACAACAACAGTAACTGAACTACAAACAAACCAGTAGTGGGAGCAACAGAAAATTCAAACATTTCAACTAAAGCCAATTTGGAGGTTGAAAATAAATGGCCATCAGTGGGCAATGGACAGAAATTCATCTTGACAATAAAATGTGCCTTACTTCAGGGTAACTATGAGATTTTAGGACAACCTATACAGGTTGCACCTGAGATGATGGAGCCCTGGGTATGTATACAGACTGGGGAATGAGAGGCTGAAGAGCAGCCCTGCAAAAAGGCATCTGGGGTTTCTAGTCAATGGCAAGTTAAAGTTGAGTCACCAGTGTGCCCTGACAGCCCAAAGGGCCAACCATACCCTGGGGTTTATCAAACAGAGCACTGCCAGCCAGTTGAGAGAAGGAATTGTCCTGTGCAGCCTCACCTCAAGCACTGTGTGCAGTTTGGGGTGCTACAATACCAGAAAGACATACAACTATTAAAGCATTCAAAGGAGGGCTACAAAGATGGTGAAGGGTCTAGAGGGCAAGACGTATGAGGAGCAGCTGAGGTCCCTTGGTTTGTTCAGCCCAGAGCAGAGCAGGCTGAGGGGAAGCCTCATGGCGGCCTGTAGCTCCCTCACAAGGGCAGTGGAGGGGCAGACACTGAGCTCTGCTCTCTGGGGACAGCGACAGGACCCAAGGGAATGGCATGGAGCTGGGACAGGGGAGGTTCAGGCTGGGTGTTAGGGAAAGTTTCTGCACCCAGAGGGTGGTTGGGCACTGGGACAGGCTCCCCAGGCCAGTGGTCATGACACCGAGCCTGCTGGAGTTCAAGATGCATTTGAACATGGTTTGATTTTGGGGTAGTCCTGTGTGGAGCCAGGAGATGGACTGGGTGATCCTTGTGGGTCCCTTCCAACTCAGGATATTCTATGATTCCATGATTCAGCTTCTTATTATGAACAGCAAAAACAAAAACTTCAAGCATTTCAAGTTGACATTTGCAGAGATGATTTCTAAGTATGGCTCATTGTAATACCAAAGGATCATTTGTGATGATCCAGGAGGTCTCTGTTAGGGCCATGATTACACTAAAATGCCTTAAGAGGCCTAGCTTCACCTGGAACTTTCACATACATCTTCTGCCCATTGATCCAAGAACTCTATTTAAGTTCAGGCCTGGGCCTTCAACACTTACCTGAAATATGTAACAGGTCTACCCAGATGGACTTTAGACCTATCTTGCAGTTACGTTTCCTTTTGTTCCTGACTTGACATGGGGTTAGACCTTGAACCTGGTTCATTCCTTGCCGTCTGTCAGACTGTTAACGGACCCTGCTACTGGCAGCTTTCTCTTCCTGATGTGTTTTGATGTTATGGGAAAAGGATTACTTTCAGCTCCTGGTTCATCCCCTCTTGTCCTGTTCTTGCTACCTGCTGACATCTATACCATTACGATCATGCATTATTTGGTAGCTTGTTATGTTTGTTAAAAATTTTGCTTGTTAAAAATTTACAGACAATGTTGATGTTAGTGAGTCAAGCCTACTAATGTTCCTGAAAGGATGGCTTAGTGATTCTTTGTCTCTACTTCACAGTTATCAGGGTGAATGAAAAAGGGTTACATGAGGTCACTGTAAGTAAAAAAACTCAAACTTAGTCTACTCCTCCAGCCACTAGACTGTGAGT